GACAGAGTGAGACTCCAACTCAAAAAAAAAAAAAAAAAAAGATCTTTAAGTTTGTCCTTCAATACATCAATTAAGACATTTTTCTTTTCTATTCCAGCAGACTATTTCTTTCTTTTATTTTCAGTTGGAGTCTGTCGCCCGGCTGGAGTGCAGTGGCATGCTCATGGCCACTGCATCCTCAGCCTGCTGGGTTCAGGTGATCCTTCTGCCTCAGCCTTCCAAATAGCTGGAACTACAGGCATGTGCTACAATGCCCAGCTAATTTTTAAACTTACTGTAGAGATGAGGTCTCACCAAGTTGCCCAGGCTGGTCTTGAACCCCTGGACTCAGGTGATTCTCTCACTTTGTCCTCCCAAAGTGCTGGGATTACAGGTGAGAGCCACCACACCCGGTCTATCCAGCAGATTATTTCTTATTTACTCCCCATCTACTATAGTCTGCACTAGGAATTTCACTCATGGTTCCCTTCTCTACTACCACGCTTTGGTACTAAACTACTTAAGATTTACTGTAAAATCTGAGAGAGGCAGGGGTGGGGAGGGAAAGAAGGGAGGAGGAGGAGGAGGAAAGAGAGAAAGAGAGAGAGAGAGAAAGAACAGCTAAATCTGTAGCTTTGTTCATTTAAAAAGATGTTGTAGGAGCTTCCTGCTGTGTGCAGTGGCTCATACCTTTAATCCTAGCACTTTGAGAGGCTGAAGTGGGATGACTGCTTGAGCCCAGGAGTTCAAAGTCAGTCTGGGCAACATAGCAAGACCTCGTCTTTACAAAAAAAATTTTTTTTTTCCTTGAGTCAGAGTCTCACATGCTGTCACTCAGCCTGGAGAGCAGTGGCATGCTCAAGGCCCTTGCAGCCTCGACCTGTTGGGCTAGGTGATACTTTCGCCTCAGTCTTCCAAGTAACTGGAACCACAGGCATGCCCCACAGGCTAACTTTTTTGCTTTATTGTAGAGATGAGGTTTTGCCAAGTTGTCCAGGCTAGTCTTGAACTCCTGGGTTCAAGCAATTCTCCCACTGGTTTCTTTCTCCATCCACAAGTAGAATCATACTAAATAATTTTTTGTTTACTGGAGGAATAAAGGAACTGAGAAAAACATAAATTCAATCTTAATTATCTCCAAAAGCCTTATTTAATCTCAGTTTACTCCATTTATGGCCATGATAGTAAAATTGTATAAAACCAATTTACAAGTAGTATGTCAGGGAACACGGTCATTTAGGGAGAATTTTCTATAATGCTTAAAAAGTAACAAAATTAAAAATGTTTTTGCCAGCAACCCCCTCGGGCCCCCTGCTCTGGGAGCTTTTCTGTCCTCTCAATAAATCATGCTTTTAAAAAAAAAAAAGTGTTTGCACACATCATACTATAATTCACTTAAGCTGAACATTCTATCCATTCTGATAAAGACACAAATGAAACATCATTTTGTTGCTACTGATTCTAGAGTTGAAGGTAAAAGATTGACTTTCACAGCAATTTTTAGAATATTATGAAACTAACACAGGAAATAAATAGCCAGTTGATCTATTTTTTTGGATACCCACAGCAAGTATCATTTCTATACATGATTCGCCCAAAATTTCTTAGTAGAGTGTTCAGAATTACATTAGAATGAAATAAAAATCTTCCCTAAGAAAACTGTTGGGCAACCCCTTCGAGTCCCTTCCCACCGTAAGAGTTTCTCTGTCTTCTTAATAAAATCCTGCTTTCTAAAAAAAAACCACAACTGTTAAAATCAAGTCATTTAACTTTTATGTCCCTCAGTTTCATCACTTGCAAAATAAACTGCAGACTCTATCTCTAAAGCTCCTTCCAATTCTAAAATTCTACAGTCTATTAAAAAGTGACATAATATACACACGCAACCAATTAAAAGTATTTTCATATTACACGATTATATTTTAAAATGGAAATGTCTCTGACATAAAATAATGCAAAGGACTATTCATAAAACAGCTTTCCTCACTTACCTCCAGGTTTTGACATTCCTGAGCAGAGTTGGTGGGCAGGCCAATCCACTTGATTTCTTTTTTCTCCTTTGAAATTATGTTCATTGCCATCAGCACATTTAAAGCATCGTAAACTCTTCGCCTAATGTTCTTCTGATCATAAGCCTGCTAAAAAATTTTTTTGAGTGATAAATTTTAAGGGTTAAGATATGGTCACATGAAATGAATAGATTAAATTACTATTATTATAATATCTTCAAAGTGCTGAAAGAATTCTCTATCCAGTGAAAATATCCTTCAAAATAAAAGATGAAATAAGGATACTTTCAAACAATATGTAAGATATAAAACAATCTTAATAAAGAGTCTGTTACCAGCAGACCTACATTTAAGCATACTAAAGGGATTTCTTCAGGTAGAAGAAATATCTAAGATAGGAGCTTGGAGATGTAGGATGGAATGAAGACTAGCTCAAAAGGCAAATGAGTGGATGAATCTCAATGAACACTCCCCATCTACCTAGTGACCACATCTTTGGAGTTGAGCATACATGCAGAACTAATATGTAAGACAACAAATAGTATATACATATTAGAAAGGGGTATCAAAGGTAAGAGTGTTCTAAAGCCTTGCACTTACCAGGAGGATTTTAGACTTAAAACAAATCAAGGTTGTACATTTAAGTTCCAGGTACAACTGTGCTTCTCAAAACATGTTCCTTGGACCAGTGCTGACCCACAAACTGTTTCCAGTCTATAATGAGAATAGGAACTGGCACCAAAATGGACTCACTTGGAGCACTAGGCACTCTGGCACACTCTTTAGTTCAGCTGACTTTTTTTCCCCCTTTATTCTTTTTGACAAGACTGTTGTCTTACATTGTGGAGAAAGGACTGTGGAGAACACTGCCTCCACTTACACAGAAAACTACAATACATCTAAGTAAATGGGGGACTTAAGAAATAATGATGACAAATGTTGGAAGGAGGTAATACAGTTGTGCGGTGATTTCCTCCTTTTGATATTGGAAAGGACATGGATACTTCTCAAAGCAGATTAAGTAATAATAGAGGTTTCGGCACAATATATTTAAAGTCATAAAAACAGCTACAGGCCAGGTGCATTGGCTCAAGCCTGTACTCTCAGCACTTAGGGAGGCAGAGGCAAAAGGACTGCCTGAGTTCAGTGTTCGAGACGAGTCTGGGCAACTTGGTGAGATCTTGTCTCTACAATAAATAAAAAAATTAGCCAGGCGTGGTGGCAAGTGCCTATAGTTCCAGCTACGTGGAAGGCTGAGGTGGAAGGATCCCCGAGCCCAGCAGGTCGAGGCTGCGGTGGCCGTGAGTGTGTCACTGCACCCCAGCCTAAACGACAGTGAGACTCCTTCTCAAAAAAAAAAACAAAAAAAACCCAAAAACCCCCCCAAAACCCAGCTATAATAGTATTATTATTATTTTTAACAACAACTATTAATATACCTAGTCTGAATCCTATGGTAAAGGAGAAAGATGGAAATAAGTATAAGAGTGCTAATTTATTGTGCTCTCCATAATCAATACATACTGCCTACAGGTGATAACTCAAGAAACAAAAGTCCGAAGTATGTCACTTAAAGTTATAAAAATAACCAACGCAAGAACTATAGACTGCAAGTCTTCCAAAGTATCAGAAAAATAACAAACCAATAAACAAGCAAAAAAAACTTGACCTTTCTTTATATACTAAGAGTAATGGTAGGGGATTAGTAAAAATGTATGTTAGATGTTGAAAAGTGCTAAGAAATGTCTCATTGTGGTGATACTGAGTGAAGACCAGAAGAAGGGGACAGGGAAGCCACATGAATAACCCAGCACAGAGTGCTCTGGGCAAGTGCAACAGTCTGACCAGCGACACATCTGGACCATACATAAAACACATAGCTGGAGTGCAGGACATTCAGTTGGAGAGCAGGAAATGAGGGAGTATTTGGCCAAAGACCAGGTCAGTGAGCTCATGGTGGTCAAGATCACAGAGAAGATCACAGATCAAGAGAACTGTGGCTTTCCCTCGGCAGCAGAATGCTCTATGCTTTCTTTTAAGGTGCCCAGGGAACATTAAAAGAAAAATCACTATGTAATAGCTCACAAGGAAAATCTCAATGCAATTTAGAAAGAAAAATTGTTCAACTCATATTCTCTGGTCAAAGCTAATAAAAAGTAAAAATTTACAGTAACAAAAAAACATTATCACCAGGAACTGTAATAATTCTTTCTAATGTATTTCTTAGGTCAAACAACAAATTAAAACCAAAGTTATAGAATAGCTAAAGAATAATACCTCAGAATCAATGGACTCAAAACAGTACTGAAGAGGAAAAGTGCTAGTTACAATTTTTTTTTTTTTTTTAGGTGGGGCCTCACTCTGTTGCCCAGGCTGGAATGCAGTGGCACAATCACGGTTCAGCAGAGCCTGATCTCCTGGGCTTCAAGCAATCCTCCCATCTCAGCCTCACGAGTAGCTAGGACTACAGACTTATGCTACATCATGCCCAGCTAATTTTTTTTGTAGAGACAAAGTCTCACCATGTTGCCCAGTCTGTTCTTGGAACTCCTGGGCTCAAGCAATTCTCCCACTTCAGCCTCCCAAAGTGCTGGGATTATAGGCATGAGTCACTGTGCCTGGCCAACAACTGAATTTTTTTTTTTTTTTAAATAAACGAAGTCATGTATTGCTTTTCCAGTAAAAATAAGATAAATTTTTTTTGTTCACTTAAGACATTACAAAAACACTAAAATTCAGAAACATATAAAAAGGCATTGGATAAGTGACCAAATATCTTAAGATGTTAAAAAAAGTATGTTTCTTCAGTAACCCCTAAAATTACATTTTAAAAATATTTCTTTATCTGTTTAAATAAATAATTCTGTCTAGAACAAAACAGATACCAACAAAATCATCCCCCAAAATGCAATATGAGAGCCTGAAGCAAAGGTAAAGGAGGAACTGAGAATCCCCTGGCTTCTATTCCTCAAATATGACCCAGACGACTCCAAGAGTAAACTGCAGCATTGCTCATCAAGATCCACGTCAGGCTCGTGGTCTACCTACCGAATCAGCAGCCAAATGGTTATTTGAATTGGTGAACTCCGACACCAGCTCATCAGCAACTTCATTATATGACGTTGTACCTTTTCGCTGAACTTTCTCACACACTTTCATTGAAAAATGTCTCAAGCCCTTTCCATTTTTATCTCCTTTTTTGCTTCGTTTACTAGAAGAGAAAAAAAAATTATACTTATTTAGAGATGTCCTTTATAAATCTCTATCAGATGATGCAATAAGGTAGCAATACAAGTTTTGCTTCAAGTGGCAAAAGTTTAAATTGGATAGAGATGAGAATACGTTTTTAAGCTTAATTTTTGCCTTAAGAGCCTTTTCTTCTTATGCAGTCTTCTCCCATCATCTACTGACTTAAAATCTAGCTGTTGAGTTTCCTGGCTAATGTGTTTTTAAATGAAAATTTTCATTAACTTGCAACACACATAAAGAAAAGAACACAAACCATCAAACCATTAAGTGCCTTTTCTAGTTATTTCTATCCCAAAGATATCTACTATCATGATTGCCAATATAGTTTTGCCTGTTTTGAACTTTATATAAATTAAATAATATAGTAGGTATCCTTTTTGTCTGACATTATCTTTTTTTTTTAGTCGGAGTCTCACTCTGCCGCCCAGGCTGGAGTGCAGTGGCTCACCCACAGCCATCACAGCCTCAACCCACTGGGCTCAGGCGATCCTTCCACCACAGCCTCCCAAGTAGCTAGGACCACAGGCACGCACTACCATGCTCGGCTAAATTTTTTTTTTTTTTGAGTTGGAGTCTCACTCTGTCGCCTACACTGGAGCGCAGTGGCCGCTCTCGGCCACCCCAGCCTCCACCTGCTGGGCTCCAGCGATCCTTCCTCTTCAGCCTTCCGAGTAGTTGGAATTACAGGCACATGCTACCACGCCTGGCTAATTTTTAAATTTTTATTGTAGAGATGAGGTCTTGCCTGCCCAGGTGGGTCTCGAACCCACGGGCTCAGGCAATCCACTCACTTCAGCCTCCCAAAGGCGCGGGATTACAGCCCGGGTCCGGCTAATTTTTTATTTTATCGTAGCAACGAGGTCTTACCAAGTTGCCCAGGCTGGTCTCGAACCCCTGGACTCAGACAATCCTCTCGCCTCTGCCTCCCAAAGTGCTGGGATTATAGGTGTGAGCCACCGCGCCCAGCTTGACATTAAAGATTCATGCATTTCAGTGATTGTTTTTCATTCATTCCGTTGTATGAATACACTGCAATTCATTTATCCCTTCTGTGGATGGACATTTTGGTTTGTTTCTAGTGGGCAGTTATTATGAATAGTGCTTCTATGAATATTCTTGTGTAAATTTTTGGCGAACATATGCACGCGTTTCTGTTCAGGATGTACTTGGAAACAGAAATGATGAATTGTAGGGAACGTGTATGTTCAACTTTGGCAGACACTGCCAACTCCCAAAATGATTACACCAATGTATACTACCGCCAGTAGTGTGTGAGCATTCTAGATGCTTCATATCCTTGCCAAACTTGGCAGTTTCTTTCAATCTAGCCATTCTGCTGGATGGAAAGTGGTATTGCCATGTGGCTTTCATTTGCATGTTTCTACTGACTAATGCTGATGAGCACTTTCTCCTGTTTACTGGCTATTCTATTTGTTGCTGGAATAAAGAAATTTGTTGATTGTTTATGCTGACCTTATGTCCAGCAACCTTGCTAAGTTCACTTGTCTCACAGTTTGTCTGAAGATTGTTTTGTCTAGGTCACACAATCACATCGTCCACAACAGAGTCAGTTTTACTTCTTCCTCTACAATTCTTTCATAAAGCTTTTCATTTTGTTTCTTGGCTTACTGCATTTGCTAGAATTTCCAAACAGAACAGAAATGGTAGGGATCCTCCTTTTTCCTTAGCTCAAGTTAAAAGCTTTTTTGTCTTTTTTAATTAATTGTATTTATTTATCTTTTATAGAGACAGGGTCTTGCTATGGTGCCCAGGGTCTTGCTACAGTGCCTAGGCTGGTTTTAAAGTCCTGGGCTTAAGCAATCCTCTCACCTTGGCCTCCCAAAGTGCTGGGGATTATAGGTGTGAGCCACCAGGCCTGTCCCAAGTTAAAAGCTTTTTATTATTGACCACTAAGTTTAATGTTTGCTGCCAGTTTTTGTCAATTTTCTTTATCGGATTCCGTTCCCTTCCATTATTAGCCATTTACCATAATGAGCAGTTTAATCAAGTTGTGTGCTTTTTTCTATGTCCATCAATCATATAATTTTTCTCCTTATTCTGTACAAAACCTAGATTCTCAGCCTCCTGCCCCCAAATGGCAAACAAGCCTGTATCTGAAAGCTCCTGTGAAAGTCGCTCACGTTCCTGAGCTCATCCCTCTCGGGTCCCGGTCCCTCGAGTTCTCGCTGCCTCAAGTAGCTTTCTGATAGCTTCACAAAGGTAAGATTATTTTACTCAGCTATTCTTGGCGGCAACACTAGACTACTGCCAGGTTCCACTTAAAAACAACTTCTGTTAATAATGTTTCAATTTTTTTTAGAACGTTTTTGGCAATCACATTTTAAACTTCAGAAAATTTTTCTTCTTTGCTCCTTTTTCATAGGATCCTGTTTTTTGTGGATATTATCTCTCTTCAGGACCCTTCAGACCTCTCCGAAGGATGACAATTAGAACTCTGTTTTACTGTTTTTCTCTGCTACTGGAAATACTACTACAACCTCTTGGGTCAGGTCTTTTTGTTTATTTACTTTGTCCCTTGTCTTTTATGATATAGTTTTCTAAAAATGTTTTGTCCTTCCATGTTTGTGAATGTTGAATTCAGTGGTTCAGTTGCTAGAATTTACACGGGCTTCTTGTATGCGGGCCTGTTTTCCTAAGACGGTTCTCCCTACCTGTAGAGGGTTAACTACAACTTCTGATTTTGTAAGTATGCCATGCTGTTCAACAAACCTAACACTTCAGGCTATACTACAGTTAAGCAGTCAGTCTGGTCTCCCTTTCTTCCCCACAAACACAAAGGCGAGTACAGGGAACGACTGCTCTGGGGCATGCTAAGATCTTCCAACTCAACTAAGGCAAGCCACTCTGTTTTCTTGAGATCAGCTCTCCAAGTTTCAGCCTGAGGAACAAATGTCTGTGGTCAATTGCTCTATGTGTGGAGGTGACGGGAGGGAGGAAAAGATCGGGAGGACTGTGGTTCTACCAGCCCAGCTGCTGCTAAACAGTCTTTATTTACTTGCCCTCATTACTTTCTCTAGCAATTCATTCCTGCTTGCACGTCTCCACAACAAGGCAGGGCAGAATGGCTCCCATCTCCATGCTGACCTCTCCTGTGCAGTTCTGGAATGGGGGTCTCTCTACTTTCAAGTATCACTCAACTAGCCTGTATCTTCTAGTTGGAAAAATCTACACTCCTGCCACACTTTACAGCACTTTTGGAGATTAATTTCCTTTAATTATTTTTTACACTAAAATTTCAATAAGTTCTTAGCAGTGGGGCGTAGGAGCAGAGCATAAACATGGATATTCAATCCTTCATCTTAAACTGGAAGCTACCTATCTAAATCTTAAATATACAGGGTCCTGGGCTCAGGCAATCCTTTTGTCTCAACTTCCTGAGTAGCAAGGACTATAGGTGCACTCATAATACATTTATTTATTTATTGTAGAAACGAAGTCTTACTATATTGCCCAGGCTGGTCTCGAACTTCTAGACGCAAGCAATCCTCCAACTCAGCCTCTCAGAGTGCTGGAATTACAGGCATGAGCCACTATGCCCAGTCATAGAGCTGTTTCAAATATTAAGACCTTCTCTTTCCAAATAACATTAAAATTTGGCCACAGAGCTGGGCTCGGTGGCTCAGCCTGTAATCTCGCGCCTTTGGGAGGCTGAGGTGAGTGGATTGCCTGAGCCCGCGGGTTCGAGACCCGCCTGGGCAGCGAGACCTCATCTCTACAATAAATCAAAAACTCAGCCGGGCATGGTAGCGCGTGCCTGTAATTCCGGCTACTTGGAAGGCTGAGGCGGAAGGATTGCCGGAGCCCAGCAGGTCGAGGCTGCGGTGGCCGGGAGCGGCCACTGCACTCCAGTCTGGGCGACAGAGTGAGACTCCAACTCAAAAAAAAAAAAAAAAAAATTTGGCCACAGGATGTAAACACGATGATATCTATTAGTTCATAAAACAAAGAAATCAGTAGGAAGCATTCTTTACCAAATAAAAATAAATTAAGAAACTAAAAACTAAATAAGAAAATAAAACCACTAATATACAATAGTTTTAAAAGCATGTTTCATTTGAAGTATTCAAAGGAACTACACCCAAAGAATAAAAGTAATAGTACTTCTGAGACTAGCCTGAGCAACATAGTAAGATCTTGCCTCTACAAAAAATTTAAAAATACCAGATGTGGTTGTGGCACATTTGTAGTCCTGGCTACTTGGGATGCTGAGGTGGGAGGATTGCTTGAGGTCAGGAGTCCGAGGTTACAGTGAGTCATGATATACTGCTCTCCAGCCGGGTGACAGAGTGAGACCTTGTGTCTTAAAAATAAATATATGGGCCGGGCTTGGTGGCTCAGCCTGTAATCCCAGCAATATGGGAGGTCTAGGTGAGTGGATTGCCTGAGTCTGCAGGTTCGAGACCCGCCTGGGCAACTCAGCAAGACCTCATCTCTACAATAAATCAAAAATCAGCCGGGCGTGGTAGTGTGCCTATAGTTCCAACTACTTGGAAGGCTCAGGCGGAAGGATCGCCGGAACCCAGCAGGTCAAGCCTGCATTGGCCGGGAGCAGCCACTGCACTCCAGTCTGGGTGACAGAGTGAGACTCCAACTCAAAATAAAAAATAAAAATAAAAAAAAATATATGATTAAACAGATAAACAAAAAGTAAAAAAAAAAGGGAAAGTACTTTTCTTTCCATGCACTTAACTATAATCCAAAACCACCTTTTTACAATCTCCCAATAGCAATTTTTTTATTGTTTAACATACAACTAATATTTGTAGTATAAATTCAGGGTATCCCAGGCATAAGTCATAATTTAAATAAGGAGTTATATATAATAAAAATTTCGAGCCAGGCTCGGTGGCTCAGCCTGTAAACCCACGCCTTTGGGAGGCTGAGGTGAGTGGATTGCCTGAGCCAGCGGGTTCGAGACCCACCTGGGCAGCGAGACCTCATCTCTACAATAAATCAAAAAAGCAGCCGGGCGTGGTAGCGCATGCCTGTAATTCCAGCTACTCGGAAGGCAGAGGCGGAAGGATCCCCGGAGCCCAGCAGGTCGAGCCTGCGGTGGCTGGGAGCGGCCACTGCACTCCAGTCTGGGCGACAGAGTGAGACTCCAACTCAAAAAACAAAAACAAAAAAAATTTCATTTCTTATTAAAATAAGAATCACGCAGAATACTTAAATTTAAAAAAAATTTTAGTTTCTAAAATGAAGCCTTGACTTAATCTGACAAAAAAGATCACCTCCCCTTATGCATGTCTCCCTAAGGAGGAAGGAGGCTTGAAACAGGAAGTGACTGTTGCTTCCTTATAGACCTTTACTCACTCTCTCTCTCTCTGGGTTATGTTATCTAGGCCTGTGACCATTTACATGCTGATGATGCTACTTATGTGCACTTGGATAAAAAACTCAAACTTCGTATGTCTAAAGGCTCTCAATTCCTCCCCTGACCTACTCCTAACTACAGTAATTATAATTGGCAACAACAGAAACACAGCTGCTTATTAAAAAAAAAACTCAAGGGCCATCCTTGACTTTCTTTTTTAATTCAATCTATCAATAAATCCTATTGGTTCTACCTCTAAAATGTACTATTACAGACCAAGGTTTTGGGAACCGGGCTACTTATATTTCTCATGTTTGATTCAAAGTTGTTTATCTAAATGCACCAAGGTAGCTTCTTTTGATAGTTGTCACCTTCCATTCCCCCTTTAAGAAACTTGGCCTTGGGGTAAGTGAAGGATTATTAGGAGACCTTGAGTCATGCCCTTGTTAATTTAGTCTGGGGGATAGAACAATGAAATATAAACTCTGAGTAAGGGTACTCCTTTTGAGCTGGCTTTTGGTAATGACACCACCTGTCTCCCTTGGACCTGGTTGCAGAAATAAACCCCCTTTTCTCCCAGTTTCTGCCTCTCATCTTCCACTGACCACGAGGGAAGCAGCTGGACTAGTTTATATGGGAACAGTACCACTTTTCCCATCTCCACTGCCAAACCACTGCCTCCTGCAATGGCCTTCTGATTTCCTGGCTTCTGTTCTAGTCTCCTTAGAATCCACACTCCATTTGGCAGCCCATGTAAATTAGATCATGTCCTTCCCTGTCTATAATTTTCCTTAAAACAAAAACCAAATCCCCTACCATGACCACGAAGTCTTTGGTGGCCTGAAGGGTCTGCCTCTCCCTCCTCTTCTCATCTCCTTGCTTTTCTCACTATCTCCAGCTCACTGTGCTTCCCCAAATACCTCACCCTGGCTCCTTACCTAGGAGCTGTGCATTCACCACTCCTCTGTTTAGAACCCCTGGCCATTTACAGTCTCAGCTTCTTCTCACTCAGAGGTCACCTCCTGAAACAGACCTTTTCTGGGTAGCCACTTCCCTCCAACGCTCTCTAGTCACCCTTCTTCTTTTCACACAGCATTTGTTACAATCTAAAAGCATCTTATTTGTTTACTGCCCCAATCCAATGTAAGTTCTTTAAGGGCAGAGACTTCTCATTATCTCCAATACCTAGAATATACCAACACTTCACAGATATTCAAAATCTATTTGTTGAATGACTGAAGGACCTGATAAATGTCACTGAAGCAGTACATAGACTTTAATTACATTGCTTTTTATTATTGCAGCTCATTATACTTTAAATTATATTAGTTTATTATGCACAAACTGAGTTTGAACTGTATTCCAACAGAAAAAAAAGATACTAAGATTAAATGAGCATACAGGAAGAATGAACCACCACTGTGTTAAATCTTACTCATTTAGGACAGGAATAAAGAAAAACACATATAGCAATCTTTGTGGTTTGACTGGAGGCAGGGAGAGACACATTACAGAAAAGTTGTATTAAAAAATAAAAAGAGACCAAAAAAAAAAAAAAAAAGATAGGAAAAAAGTCACTGAACCAAATGCAGAAAGGGAAATTTGAATCAATGGCTATACCAAGAAATGTAATCCAACATTTTTATATGTGATCTTTAGAGGACAGTAAAGAAATTTTTTTTTTTTTACTGTTTGCAATACAGAAGTGTCACCAATCGTAACTGAAAAACAGTTCCATTTTTAAGGCCTTAAACATTGCCACACACATCTGTAAGAACTTGTACTGCTACCCTTTCCACAGATAAACACCAAGAAAGACCAGTGAGTTGGAAACAGAGTTTTCTATTAGAGAGAAAAAAAATTTCACCACATATTTCATATGATACAGCAGTTCCTCAGACGTGATTTTATCTGTTCTAAACAATTAAGAACCAAGAAGCAAGTAACAAAAGCCACCAAGAAACTGAAGAAGCACTAGTGTCAGTGCAAGAAAACATACATCCTTTATACACTGTACCAAGGTTCTCACTCAGAGCCTGTTCACCTTCATCTCAGACGGAATTCGAACGCATTTGGCCACTGAAGTTTCTCAGTGCACAGCACATCGGATAGTAAGTTAGAAAATGGGCATTTCTCTTTTAGTTAACAAACTGTAAGTTACTCTGATGCGCACCCAGAATGGAGAATCACTGTTCTAGTAGTGTAAGGAAAGGTGATAGCATACCAAAGATATTGCTTAAGAAGCAAGTGAGAGTTGACTAGGACCCACAAATGCTTTCCATAAAGCTTGTTAACGAGTTTGAACATGTTAGGATGATGTGGATCATTCACTTTGGTAGAACACTTCATCTGCAAAAGGCATGAGGGGACTAAATGATATACCAACAGTCAATCTACTCATAGGATAATTTCTACTGAAACCATACAATACTATGAGTATATTGGAACATTCAGTGTAGAAGGAAACAACAGCAAAAACCAAATAAAGTCAAAGTTATATATATAAAAAAAACTCATTACTTAAACTAGAGTACAGACTCGGCACCAAACCCCTCTCTACACAGCAGCCTCCCAAGCAGAATACTTACACTTACACTCACCTTTCTGAAAAATCAGAGTCTATAAATTCTCTAGCCCGTTTTCTATCACTAAAAAGAAAAAAAGATTGCATAAAAACAACACATAAACACAACTTCATTTCATGAATAATTTATGATAACTTATCTAATTCTACACTGAATATATCCAAAGACAAAAACTAACAAATACAAAAGATACGTATGTAAAATAAAAACTTAGTTTTATCACGAGACCAAGACACCACAACATAATAATCACAGGTTGAAATCAGCTCAATGAATATTTAGGGAGGAAAACATTGCTTATTTACAAACAAGAAGGCAGAGAAAAGTTATGTTCGCTCTGGAATTCCTGACTACAAAGCACGTGCCACCTCCAGTATAAAGCACAGCTGAGGATGACAACATCCAAACCCTGGTCATCTCCAAAGTGGGCTGACACCGCTGGCACAGACTTGGCTTTCACGTCATAATCTTTCAAGGCCGTGCAGGAATCCAAGGTAACTTTTAGATCTACATGACAGCGTTCATAAGGACTAAATAAAGGTCATGAGATGACAGGCAATTCTGTCCTTTCACCTCACTGGTAATGGAGAAGTACAAATACACGAAACTCTTCTGTTTTTAATATATACATGTCTGTATGTATTTAAGTATATTAAAATGTATATGGCTTAAAGCACTTTGCCAGGATTGTTATTTCATTAATTCACTTAATATCCTTGAAACAAGGAGATTCTTACTCAACTAAGATTTACCATCTGCTTGCTATTCATAGGGGAAATTCTGAGTAAACCCAACACAATATTTAACTCCTTTCTGATACTTCTGATATGTATTAAAACAATATATTTTATATCTCCAAAGCAGTTAAATGTTTATAATCATAAAAGTAGTCCTATTTCAAAGTTGAAAAAAGAAGATTCAGTTACAAGTTATTGAACTATTTTTTTCTGTTTAAAAATGGTTGCTCTGGAGATGATTTATATCTAAGATGTAAAGTGAAATAAAACAGGTGATTTTAAAGGAAAAACATTAGTTTTTTAAAAGCTAGACTAAACTAAATCAAGAACAGAAGACAAGATGGTAAGAAAAAAAAAAATCAAAATAATTTTTTTCAAGATTTTAGAAATGGTAACTTGCAACACTCTTACCCAGGGACCCAGCCAGTAGTTTCTGCTATGTGTGTCTGAGTAACCATTGCTGGTGCAGGGGTATATGGACTCCCAATCAGAACACTTCCTGAACTGGTTAGTCTCTGTGGTGTGCTTATAATCTGTAAAGTTAAGAACAAAGAAAATATTCTTAATTACTAAGGAAAGTCTACAGAAAGAAAATAATGTTGACTGCTAATCTACACACAAGGAGGAAACCTTGCTGCCTAAAAAAGCACTTAATGTCAATCATTTAAAATATCAGTAAAGCCTCTGATTTGCTTATATCATATAATCTCAAAGCACAAGTATCCTGAATACTGACATGAAGTCACAGTGAGGGTTTCAGCACATGAGTACCAACTGGAAGGATTTAGTAGGCAACCAATAATGCTTTCAAAATTAGAAAAATGAAAAGCTTTCTTTGAAATCAAAGAAACAAATTGCAGTACAGCTTGATTTACTAGACCCAGGGTAACAGCAATTCAGATATTCACAGTTCATCACACAATATACACAAAGAAACTATCCAATCTGGATAATTATATAGATACAATATTATCCTTTTTTAAAAAAGAGCGTATCCTGGCGAGGCACAGTGGCTCAAGCTTGTAATCCCAGCACTTTGGGAGGCCGAGGCGAGAGAATTGAGCCCAGGGGTTCAAGACCAGCCTGAGCAATATGGTGAGACCTCGTCTTTACAATAAATCAAAAAATTAGTCAGGCATGGAGGCGCAAGTCTGTATTCCATCATATCAGATTAAACGCCCATTTCTCTCTCTCAAAAAAAAAAAGAAAAAAGATGTCTTCTAAGACTATTAACTAACTTGAGGAAATGCTTTTTTTTTTTTTTTTGGTAAAGAAGTGGGGGTGGTCTCACTGTTGCCCAGGCTGGTCTCAACCTCCTGGCCTCATACAATCCTGCCTGGACCTCTCAAAGTGCTGGGATTACAGGCCTGAGCTGCTGTGCCTGGCCAGGACGTGCTCTTTTATTATTATTATTATTTTTTCCTGAGTTGGAGTCTCACTCTATCACCCAAGCTGAAGTGCAGTGGCACAATCACAGCCACCACCACCTCCACCTGCTGGGCTCAGGTGATCCTTTTGTCTCAGCCTTCCAAGGAGCTAGAACTATAGGTGTGTACCACCTCACCAGGCTAATTTTTTTGATTTATTGTAGAGACAAGGCCTCGCCAAGCAGCCTGGGCTGGTCTCGAACCTCTGGGCTCAGGAGCAATCCTCTCACCAACGCTTGCCAAAGTGCTGGGATTACAGGCACGAGCTGCCACGCCCAGCTGGATATGGACTTTCACAAAAGGCTTCTTGAGATATGTTACCAAATTGCTGTCCATGTCTTATAATTTACATTGGTGAAAAGGACATCTTTTTCAAAGATGTTTACAACTACTAATTTTAAAAAGTAGCAGCCTGGCCAGACTTGGTTGCTCAGTCTGTAATACCAGCACTTTGGGAGGCCGAGGTGAGTGGATTGCCTGAGCCCGTGGGTACGAGACCAGCCCTGGCAATGTGGCCAGACCTTGTCTCTACAATAAAGCAAAAATTAGCTGGGTGTGGTAGCGCGCGCCTGTAGTTTCAGCTACTTGGAAGGCTGAGATGGAAGAATGGCTGGAGCCTGGCAGGTCAACGCTGGGGTGGTCGTGAGCACGCCACTGCACTCCAGCCTGGGTGACAGAGTGAGACTCTGACTCAAAAAAAAAAAAGAGAGAGATAAAACCATCTCTATATATCAACAAGGGTACCTGCCTAACAAACGTCTGTATACTTAACCCTGCCCATATCTTTAAAATAAAAAATTTTAAAACAAAAAGCATCTCTATGGACTACTTATAATTGTTAAATAAGACCAACAAAAGAAATAGTTCTATTCCTACTGCCTCCTGCAGGAAAAAATGTGAAATAGTTTTTGTTTCCCTGATCATATGAAACCTGTTTCTGCAGCCAGGGTCAACACTGAGCATTAAGTTAGTTGCTAACTTGCTCCTTACCTAACCAAAGGGAAGGACTCATAAACATTTCAATTCTTCATTTGCATCTGAAGAGTCAAACAGTAACCTCTGAACTGTAAGATTTAGTTGTGAAGTTAGCATCTGTTTATGTTTGACATTATGCTAGTTTGGGGCTACAGAGAAGTTAGTACCTACACATTCTTAGTTAATAAGTTAATTCTACAGTTAAAAAAAAATGCTGACAGGTGTATGGAGAATTCTCTGATTACCTACAGTACGCCTTAAATAAAGCATTCAGAAGACCGCCTCATGAGACAACAGGAAACTAGACAATGTGTCTGTACCTCTCCAACTCTGCCCTGCATTCCAAGTGTGTACCTTCTACTCCTCCACACATCTTGCTCCACCTTCCCACTTTTATCCATACAAGGGTAGAGGGTACCCTGCTAAACTATGTCCTTTGCGGGTGTAGCACAGTGTGGGGGATGCTCATTGGAAAGGAACGATAAATATTCACCAACTAGGACAAACGACTCAACTTTTAAAATGATGGGGGAAAAAAGCACCTTCATTCATTGATATGCTAGAAAGGGTTATTTAAAATGCACTATGAGAAAACTCTATAATGTAAAGGGCATCGTTCCCACCAACCACTACGTCACATTCAAATGTTCTCTGTCAGGCTGACCTTGGGTGTTGACAGCTTAAGGCAAATCGTGTCCATGCTCTGTGGCTCAGTCTGTAATCCCAGCACTTTGGGAGGCCGAGGCGAGTGGATTCCTGAGCTGGCGTGTTCGAGGACCACCCGGGCAACTTGGCGAGACCTTGTCTCTACAATAAATCAAAAATTAGCTGGGCGTGGTAGTGCACGCCTGTAGTTCCGGCTACTTGGAAGGCTGAGGAGGAAAGATCGCCAGAGCGCAGCAGGTCAAGGCTATGGTGGCCAGGAGCGTGCCACTGCACTCCCGTCTGGGCGACAGAGTGAGACTCCAACTCAAAAAAAAAAAAAAAAAAAGGAAAATAGGAGTATTTGTCTCCAGTCTGCTCTAATCCCAGAACAGGAATGCCTACAGAGCTATTCTAGGCATTCCAATTTACCCTTGAAACAGACCACGTTACTTCTCTGGTACTATTACTAAAGTTTTTTTCTGTGTTATTAGCAGCCTACATTTTTGGTTTTATCTGATTTAAAGGGCTTTGTACAAAAACAAAAATGAGAAAGGGAAGCAAGACATAGAGGCAAACTGTCTGTCTTCATGAGGATGATTTTAGAAATGAATTGCTATGTTCTAGTTTACATTTTCTTTATTCTTCCTTGTTGCTAGATTATCAGCTGATATTCTTTGCTAATGTAAGAGCGACTAGCAATACTCTACTCCCTTCTCTTAACACATGGCCTGGTGCATAGTAATTCCTTTTTCTTCTTTTCTTTTTTTTTTTTTGAGTTGGAGTCTCACTCTGTCGCCCAGACTGGAGTG